GGCCGCAGGAGCAATAGAGAGGAAAAAAGGGGGGAAAAAAAGAAAAACAAGTTTCAGAAAGTGGCCTCGCCGATCGTGGTCGGGGGTGCCGTTCTGGTGGCCAGAAACGAAATTAGGAGGAGCCCCTTTTCCATGAAAAGTAAAAATCTATTCTCCTTCCACTGGCGGCTTCACGCTCCCGGGGACCCAGCTCCGAAAAGTGGCCGGTAGGGCTCTGCGACCGGGCCACACTGACACGGGCTTTCTCCCCGATCCTCCCGAAACCAGGAAGGCCCCTCGGCTGCGCCCGGGGAGTGCAAATCCAACCCTCCAAAATGTGTTTGATTCCTCGGCGTCACATGCTCCGGGCTTTAAAACCCTGAAGCCCTTACAAGAGCAGCTCGGAAGCTCTCCCCAAATACTCAGTTACTATCTGATCCGAAAAGTTTAATATTTAACCTGCTTTAGCCCTCACCTCCCTTTTCTGAGATGTTTGGTTTCCCTTAACTCGCCTTGAGCCGCAGTAGGGGCCTTTCGACTGGTTTTTCAGAAGGGAGAGTACAAAGAGGGTTTATTATTTTTAAAATGACTCGTCGCCTCCCCTCCCCCCAACTCCCGGCCCCTGCGAGTTTTCGAATTTGAGTCCGAGGACCCGAAACGTGGCATTCTCGCCCGAGGAATGGAAAGATTCCTTCAAAACAAGCTTTGGTTTCATTTTCCAACGCCCTGGCTCGGGAATCCCGCGGCCCGAGGACGTGGACTCGCGCGGGGGACTGGGGGACGTCCAAGGGAATGGAGGGGGCTAAACGGTCTCGCTCCTACCCCAACTTATTCCTCCACCCACCTCCCGAAATAATCTACAAAGAACACCTTCGCCCCGCGGGCCGGCTAAGGGGCGCCTCCTCCAGCGCTAGATAAATCCCCCTGTAGTTCCAATTTAAAGCTGTTTGTTTAAAAGATTTGTCATTTGCCGATTGGGGGTGGGGGGACTCTCTTGGAGCCAATCTTCCCTGCAGAGGGGAGACGCCGAAGACCCGCCGCAGCTCAGCGCCCTCGGATCCGGGGAGGCTCGGGCGCTGCCAGCGCCACGGATCAGCCAACCGCACTGGCTCGGGCTCGCCCGGGCCACCGCCGCCCCCTGGGTGCCCGCCCTGCGCGCCTGGCCCCCCGGGCTGCAGACCCCTCGGCCGCAAACCCCCCGACTAGACCCCGCCCGCCTTCTTCTCCGACTCCCGCCCCAACTTCGCTAAGAGTGCTTATTTTAACCCGGTTTTGGTTACAAACACCCCCTCCCGCCCTCGCTCTCGCCCAGCAAGCTCTGATTACCAGATCCGCGTTTACTCTGAAAAATCTAAGATCGCCACATCCGAGGTTACATGTCTTAAGGAGGCGATGACCTTCCTGTGATTTTTTTTTAAATGCCCTTTGGATCTATTTCTTTTAAAAGTCAGCGGCTCGGAGACTGCCCAGACGCGCTAATTTGGGGAAAGTCGGGATGAAGCCCCCCAAAACACCCTCGCTCGGGCAGAGGCTCCGCTTTGGCCATCTGGGCCTCCGCTTCATTCTTCCGACTTTTCTTCCCTCTTAAATGCAGTTAAAATGGCTGAATTCCGGCTTTTAATTAAAACCAGCCTCTAATCTGAAACGTCTCTGCGTCCCCAGCTCCCACGCCGCCTGCAGTGAGCCGAGGGGGGAACCGACGCCTCTCGTCCCGGCCGCGCGGGCTGCACGGGACTGGGAGCTCGGTGGACACCCGGGCCGCAGCGGCTCGCCCCCACCCCTCCAGGGGCGCAGGCCCTCGACTTCGCTGTTGGAGGTCCCCAGTGCATCCCGAGGGCGCGGCGGGGTGCGGGGCCGGGCTGGAGAAGTTTGGAGAAAATCGCACCCGGCCAGGGCCAGGCGGGCGGACCGGCAGCGTACCTGGCGCAGCGGGGCTCCCGGCTCCAGGCTCTGGCTGCGACTCCGGCGGCCCTGGCTCCCGGCGCGGCTAGGCGCCCGTGCTGCACGCCATCCCGCGGCCGCTGCTCCCCTGCGCGACCCGCGGCCGCCTCACACTTTTTGCCCGCCTTTCCTTTTTTTGGTAGAAAACTGTTCCCGGGGCCTTGCGCTCGGCGCGCCAACTCCTCCGCCCTCCCGCCGCCGGGCTCCCGCAGCCCCCGGAAAAGCCAGCTTTCCTCCCGCCGAGCTCCCTGCTTTTTAATAAAATCCAGGTAGCGCCGGTTTAAAGAATCCCAAATCTCCATATACAGCCCGGGATTGGAAAAGGTACGTTACACAACCCCCCTTTCAAGTTCCTCTCGCTGGATCTTAAAAAAAAAAAA